ATTAAAGACAGTACAGAATACTACCAAGTCACGAATAACCAAGAAAGCACATCTATACAGGGCTAACGTGAATAGGTCTGAGACAGCAAGTAGGGTAAAGGCAAAGTGCGCTCGTTTGTCTTTACAGTCGAATGAAGCAAATGGGGAAGATCTGGGATAAGGCACTGACAATAAACTTGCTTTTGAACTTACTTAAAAATGAAAAAAAGATTTGGGGGAAAAGAACAACACAGAACATTTACAGAACACCAAGAGTAAGAAAGCCAGCTGTTAAGGGCAGTTGATGACAGGCTGGATGGAAACTGACTGGAAACAATAACAGACATATTTGGGGATTACGTGTGTTAATCTCACTCTATTTGTAGTATGAATACACCAGGGATGTTTATATATAACCAGTTTTATTACTGACAAGGCAGAGTCCGGCCTGGAAACCATGCTGGAGAAAGGAAATGTGAGTGTCTGTGAGCCTGTGGGGCGGGCTGGGCGAGGCAGTCTTGTCGGGGGTATGGAGAGGGTTCTCAGGACAAGAGTGATCGGGATGAAACCCGCCCCTCCCAGCGCTTTCTAAGGGATCCACAAAATAAAATGCGAAGAGAGTGAGGAAACACAGAACTAGTTAGCATAAATCAAAACATCACAGAAAAAAAGAAAACAAAACACTGACTTTAGCTTTTTCTTCTTTTTTGATAGTAAGAATCCTGACAGTGGGGAACATGTCTTCTATTTTTAAATTATTTTTTTATTACTTTATAATTACCACCATTATTTTATTATTTATCATTGAATAAAGCAGAGTTTTGTTGTTAAAGAAAACACCTAATTTTTAAAATACATGAAGATATGGTGAATAGCTTGTCTGTATAAAATATTTTTACAAACATGAAAAACATACTTATTTCCAATTCAAATAGAGAAAAACGTATACAAACTAATCTTTGCACTTCGGCATATCCACAAAATGCCCAGCATAAGCCTGAAGAAAATACAAAATGGTAGCAGGGCTGATTTTAAATCCTGCACTGAAATATGTGAGTTATTCTCAAATATGTCCTACCATGTTTCCATGTGTCCAGAGTGGGACAGCTGGGACCAGAGGGAGGTGCCTGAGTAAAGGGAAACTCCATTCCTGGGACTTTTCTGCTAAGAAGAAGGAATAATAGCAGACAGTGTAAAACAAGAAGTTATATCATTTTTTGACATCCAATGGGGTTTGGGGAGGATGATAAAAGAAGACAGTCTGACATGCCTCAAGAGAAGTCAGACATCATTGTTTTTGTTGCATAAGCACACTTGATATTCTTCCTTCCTCCTTGGGTTTCATCTAATCTGTGGCTACTCTAGCCTTACTCTCTCTCTAGGTCTCTCTATGAACTTCTCTTCTCATTAATAGCCCTCTCGTAATACTCCAATCATCAAAATTTCTGCTGTCAGGGCACAGGTCTGCATGGCTATCCAAAGCTATGGCAGTAGCGATAAGAGGCTTGGTCCTTTACAGTGGGCTGAGCCAATCAGGTTGGAAGGTATGGCATTTGTCCAAAAGATAAAAGTTCCTCCAAGTGTTGTAAGATCAGAGGTTCCAAAACAGGGTGGCAGGAATGCTCACATCTGACCACATTTCTGAATTATCCAGGCACTTTTGAAAATATAGATTTCTGAGCCCTAAACGCAAGGATTCTGATTCAGTTCATTTGAACAAGGGTCGTGGACTATGCATTTTTAAAGCTCCGCAGGTGATGCAGATGGCCAGTCAGGTATATAAACAATGACCTGAAGAGTTAGAGGGAACTGCTTCAGAGTCCCCAGGGAAGCAGAAGGCCCAGACGAGAGAGGTAGCAGCTCCAGGTGCCTCTCTTAAAAGTTCCCCAAACATGGAAAGGGAAGCCACATCTGCCTTGTCCCTGCTAGTAAGGTCCTATGGCCAAAAGCTCTGCTAAAGCAATCTATCTTGAGACCTGCAATCTTGAGAACTCAAGAGGAACAGATGATTCACCAAATTTTCCTTGGATACTTGCCTGTTCATCTTCCCAATTCCAGGGCAAGTGCGGCCTCCACGGATTGCCCTGGTGCCTCTGATCACTCACCTGTACCGCTCATTTGCCTGCCATCACTCTTCCCATTTCTCAACTCAGACTAAAATTTTCTGTGTGCATACAATCAGCACTCCTTGATGAGACTTTTCCTGTGTTCCCAACAAGGCTGCCCTAGTGTACCCAACTCGCAGATGCTCGATACATTAATGAATCAGTGCTCACTCGTCATGTGGTTGTAAGAAAGAGCCACTGGGCTGGGGAAGAACAGTCAACTCTGAATCTAGAGACCGGCTCCAAAGTCCAGTCCTGCCGCCTCCTACCTTGGGCAACTTACATTTTCGGAAACTCTATTTTCTTATCTGTAAAAATAGGATTAGTTGCCTCTCAGATGGTTCTGATGTAGACTGGCTGCAAAAGGAAATAATACAAAGAAAGTGTTCCTTGAGCACATGTGTCAGAGTATGTATACCCATATTTTGATCCAATCCTCATAGATGATTTTCCCTTTCAGTCCCCAGTTGTCCCCTCTGTCACTCTTGCCCCACTACCTTCCAATACAACAATAAAACGGAGGCTCCAAACCGACTCCCCACAGCCAAGTGCAGTGCTTGGTCAGGTTTTGTTTTGGTCCACGAGGCATTAGGTGCTTACAAATTTGGAAGGTATCTGATATTTTTAAAATTTAATCTTTACTGTATTTTTTTTCCAATACCATTTAGTTCCCTTATATACCGTTCCCCTCCCAAACAATCACCACACTGTTGTCCATGTCCATGAGTTCTTTGTCTTTTTTGCTCAATCCCTCCACCCCCTTACCTCCCCCCACCCCGACTAGCTATCACCTGCTTTCCATCTATAGGGCCCCAAACCAACATGCAAAATCAGAGCGCAGCTCCAGGAGATGTTCTGCCAGGGTATGAATCCCATTCCAGGGGCTGTGGGGCCTAACCTCACATCACTGTGCCTCAGTTTCCTCCACTATTAATAAAAATGTGGCGGAGTTTATAGTAGTGAAACCCACCCAGCTCATGCAGTTTTTAGAACACATGAAGTACTTAGAACAACTCAACACACGATCAGCACTCTGGTTCTGACTTCATCTCTTGGCCAGAGATGAGGCAATGCTAGAACCTGACAAGCTCTCGCTGAGTGGCAGCGGCTCTTGGGCATGATCTCTCTACTTCTACAGTTCCTCATTTCCTGAAGGCTGTATACAGGGTCTACCTCGCTTATCTGGACCACTTGCCATCAGATGACCACTTATAGGACTATCCCTTTGGCCTTGGACTTTGCAACTTCTACTACCAAGAGGGAAAAAAGCAGCCCCGGGGAAAGAAATGATAACTTCCTCCCCAGTCATGCTCACTAACAGGCATGGGGTGCAGCCTGTGGAGAAGGCAAAAGGCACAAGAGAGTGCCTGGGATGATCGGTGGGTATTTCTGGGACAGGAAGAATAAACAGCGCCTCCGGCCATCAATCAGGCAAGCCTTGAGAGCTGCACTTTCAAGACTGATACTGCCAAACCATCCATTTAATCAGCATAGTGTTTACATCTCTAGGACTCTGTAATGTGCCCTGGCAATAACCAGGCTCTGATGGCTCATCCTTCTGTCTGTTCTTCCGCCTATTTACCTGCCAGATGTCATTGCAGCAGAAACCAACAAGCTCCAGTATGCACACTAGTCAAAGCAGCACCGTGGAACATAGAGCCTCTCTAAACCAACTGTGGGTCCCTCGGGCCTCTACTGACTATTAAATGGATCAACAGCAACTATTAAGTTTGTGTATGAGACATAAAATAAGAAAATGCATTTCCATCAGGGAAGAGACTTAGGTGTGATTTAGTCACTACTATACCTGCAGTCTGGAACACTGCCTACTATACATAGTAGATGCACAGAAGCTTTGAGAACACCAACTGGCAGCCTCATAAGCATGTGAATAAGTACCACCAATTATTTTAACTGTAAATGTATATATTATGTTTTTAAATCAAACTGAACTTTCTAAATTCAGCCATTAGCCTGTAATTTGGCAATGGAGCCACTTGAGTGAATGCACCATAAGTGCAGAAGTCTTGTATGGAGCCTTTCAGACCACAGTTTCTTTCTTATCTGGTTCTTGTCTGGTTCTGAGTCATACACTCTGGTATGGCCTTTGAAGCCAAATTGTGAGTACTTCCCAATCTAATTGCACACTATTGTCCACTGGGAAAGGCACTGGAGCACTCTGCAGGACATTACAAATTATATTGTTAAGCCTGAAAGGAACTGAAACTATGAAGGGGTCCTGTCTCTCTCTTTCAAAACCATAACATAAGCAGCACAAACTTGGCAAAAGATTAACACATGGTAGGTTTATCTGAAGTCCTTCTCATGATGCTCAAATATGAAAAAACTAATGTGAAGAAAAACAGCAATGGCAACACCTCTTATCTAACAGATGTGGTCACTGGTGTAGAAATGCTTCTTTACGCAAAGGCTAATTCTGCATTTCAAGGTAACACCAATCACCACTTGTTTATGGACATGCTAGTTTGTGTGACTGTTGGTTTCCTCTTAGGCTGGTGTTTCTGGAAGAATCACACCTTTTATACCTCAGATACCCACCATCAGTTCTCCACCTCTTACCATGTTGAATCTGGCAATGCCAAGGTTTAAACAGAAAACACATTGAAGTTGTTGCCTGATGTTTATTTACCAGATGATGCAAAGATAGAGAAAAAGCAATAGAGAATTTCAAGAATGAATTGGACCCCAAAGGAAAAAAACTACCACAGAGGCCAGCCAGACACCTGCAGAGATTCAAACATCTTTTCCTCCATCCACCTCCCAGCCTTGAATAAGTTCTAGCTGGCCAATTTGGCAGTAACGCTCAACCCACTATCTCGTGGTTTCCGTCAAGTTCCCGTTCGCATTTTTCTTAAGACTAGGGAGAACTCTGTATGTAACAGTCTTAGTTTGGAGCGCACAGTGAGACACATCCTGCAATGACTGCTCCCTGACTCGTGGATGACAGCTGGAGGCAGGTAAGGAGGCAGCTTTTCCGTGAGAGAACCGAGTGTGTGCGAGTGGGGCGTGCGAATGCAAAGAGAGGTCAGAGCTGAGCAGCAGCAATGCTGAGTACAGTGGACTGTCTGTGTTTTCCCTTTTTGTCTGAGAACTGTGATTGGTGGTTATGGTAATATATTTGCTTATGTTGATTATGGAATCCAGTCTGAAATTTTATCACTGATGATTATTTGTGATTTCCAACTGTGGCTGTCAAAATATATCTGTGGTGAAGAGATAGCAAAGAAAATGCTTAAAAGGTTATTCATCCAGGACAAACATTTCCAAAGCTTGTAAGCATGTACCAAAATTGCCTCTAAAAGCTACAAAGTTAATTATTACAATATATATGAGCCCATGTGAACATGTTTTTGTTTGTAATTGCATGTATACAAAGATATGCAGTTAGTATATGTTTGTATATATATTTATAGAAGTAGAAAGCTTTTTTATCTTTTTTGCAATTGGGATAAGTTAACCCCAATTACCTAATAAGATATGTATTTACCTTTAAAGAGAATATTAACTTGCAGAAACATCTATCCTATGCAAAGGAAACATTTTAGTTCATGTTACTTATTATGATCTATGACTAATCAGCTCAATCATTTAAAATACTTTAAACATTATAAATTTAAATTACGCACAGGGAAATTGGGACAGATTCACAGTGTCAGCATATTCAACCAATCTCATACAACACATTTAGTCTAGAAGTACTTTTTTAAGGACAACTAATCCTTCAAGGACAATATATCAAAAATCACAGTGGCAAAAAAAAAGAAAGAAAAACCCACACTGTAGTCTGCATAATTATGTATGGTGTCAGATGGGTAATGGATTTACATAGAGTTGATCACTTTGTAAATTATATGCACCTACATATACACCTACTATATATGTTATATCTGAAACAATATAATGTCAACTGTAATTTAAAATTTATTAAATTTTTTTAAAAAACAGACTTAAAGACAATTTTAGCACTAAAAAACCTAGATATTGATAAGTTAAAAAATAAGGGAACATAATGCACTAACTATAAAATATCAGAATAACATTTTATGATTTGTGAACATACCAATAAATTTCATTTAATGAAATCTGTAAATACACACATAAAAGTATGCACATACATACACAATCGCACACTGGTAATATACACATAAGCTAAAAATGGTTGGGTCTGTTATAGCTTAGTAAGGAAGACATGAGGAAATGCCAAGATCCTCAAAACAAAGACTCATAAAGGGAAGTGAGCTGGGTGAAGAGAGAAAGATGAGAGGGTGCCACGTCACAGCCCCTGACCAAGGCCCCCCGGCGGATCTCAGTGTGAGGCCTAAGCCTCGGGAGCACAACCGGCTCCGACAGCCCACAGTTTCACTCAGCACAGCATGAACACTGCCACACCCATTCCTTCCCCTCCACCCCACCCCCACCAGTCACCAATCAGCGCATTCTTCAGTCATCTTCAATTAGTACTTTCATCCTCAGGTATGAATTTGTAGGGTAGTATTTACAACTCCCTGACTATAGGAATGTTCAATCTAGCATCATGTATCTAAATGGGGGGAGGAGGAGGTGGCACAAGTTAAACTAAAAACATAAAATTATGATTATCCCTGACATCTTCAAAAAGAATACAGTGGGTGGAGAAGGAGTGGTAGAAAAAGAGTCTCTCAAGTGAGGAGAACTGGGTGGGTGGGCGAGGAGAACCACATTGAAACAGCTAATGGGTACACTAGGCAGCAAGGTACTCTGAGCTCCCTGAGCCCCATTCCCTCAATTGTAAAACAATGATGACATTAGCACATGACCACTATATGATTAAATCAGATAATATTTGTAAAGTCTTTCAGCATTCAGTAAATATGGGCTGACATCATTATTGTTTTCATCATCATTATTATAAAGGCTAATTTAATCAAGACAGATATATTTGTAATTATATATCAGACCACTGGCAAATATAATTTGGATATTTCAACACCTTTGTACACCAAAACAGATAAGATATAAAACCACTTACAAGAGTGCTTCTCAAGCTTTGCTGCACATCTGGGGCTTGTTAAGCACATATCCCCAGGCCTAACTCCCCCAAGTTTTTGTTTCCAAGTCAGAGTTGGGGCTTAAGAAGTTGCATTTCTAACAATTCCCAGGTGACCTCGGGGTCCACACTTTAGAACCACTCATCTATAGGTAAATTCCTCAAACACATTTTTTTTACTAATAAAATTACCTACAAGTTCTCATTCAATCTAAGCCACTTAATAAGGGCAAAATAATGAATAAATGCCTAAGTAGTAAATGCAGTATATTTCCCCTACATAGTTAACATTATTCTTGACCAAGAAAGGAAAGCAGGGAGGGAGTGAGGGAGGGAGTCAGAATATTTCCAATTAGATCTCAGATACTTCTGAAGTCAACTGCTGAATAAGGGAATATTATTGCCTAAAACAGTGTTCACTCTATAAAATGCCTCTAATATGAATTTAAGTATTGAGGATTCCCCAAGCCTAAGTCTCTATGGTAAGAAACCAGGTCACATTTACTCCATTTAGTTTCAACATTTCCTTGAAAGTGAGGTTAGTACCAGCTGAGATGTCTCAGCCTCCCAGTGTAAGCATTATCGGGAAAACCAAGAACAGGCCAGTCCAGAGACACAGGTGGAACGAGTTTATTCTACCCCCTTCCTCAAAGGAATCCTCACTTGCAGACGACTCACTAGCAGTAGAGAACTGGACAAGGAGAGCTTCTTTTAACTGAAAATTTTATCATTAGCGCAAGTCTCTTCAGGTACAGCAATGGTTCTCAAAGTGTAGCCCCAGACAAGATGCATGAACACCACCAATGAACTTGTGAGACATGCAAATTTTTGACCCCAGACCAACTAATTATGAAACTTTGGGGGTGAAGCCCAGCAACCTGTGCTTTATCAAGCCCTCTAGATGATCCTGTTGCACATTCAATTTTGAAATCCATTGAGTGAAGTGACCCTACATCCTGGGACCTCTCCAGTTTTCAAGGGCTCTTGGATGTGACTATATAGTCCCCCTTTCTACCTCAGAAGTGTCCGAGGTTGGACAACAAATTATGTGGTCATCCTTACGGTTCAGACTAGATGCTACAAAGGGGGTTCACTGGTTGGATTCTGTTTGCTGCTTGGGGCTGCAAATTAGCTTCAACTCTTGCTGCTACATCTAGCACTAAACCCATAGCCTCCCTGAATGCTGAATGATGAATTGCCTCAAAATATCTAGGGGGAGGAGGATGGCAAGATGGTGGCATAGGCAGACATGGCTCACCTCTTCGCACAACCACATCAAAATTACCACTAAAACACAGAACAACTATTACTCAGAACCGTCAAAAATCAAGTTGAATGGAAGTTTAACAACTACGGAATTAAAGAAACTACAACCATCCAGACTGGTAGGAGGGGCGCAGACACGGAGCAGGCTGGTCCCTTATCCCATGTGTGGTGGGGAAAAAATTTGGGACGGATATCTCAAGAGCGAGTACCAGGCCCCCCAGCCCAGGGTTCCAGTGCCAGGAAGTTAACAACTTCTGGCTGCAAAAAGCAAGTGGGGATTGATTCAATGGAAGAAACTGCTGAGCCCCAAGTAATTCCTTTTAAAGAACCCACACATGGACTCACTTACTCAGACTCACTCCCTCTGAGCTCCAGCACTGGGGTGGCAGCTTCGAAGGGCACCAGTGGCATACAGGGAGAGACTGAAGTGTCTGGCATTGGGGAGAGCAAAGGCCATTGTCCCTTTTCTGAGCCTCCCCCCAACACACAGCCATGGAGCCAGTAGTCTGGTGCCATATCTGAGACTCCATCAACCTGGCTAAAGTTGTTTGACCTGCCCTGGAGAGCCCCAGAGACTTTGCCCCACCCAACTTACAGGCCCACCCAAACTGCTTTTCCATATGAATGGCTGATCTTGGACCACGCTTCACAACTTCCTAAATCCTATCAAACAAGCAACAGATGGCTTCAGTGAGCTCCAGTTAGGCATTCACAGCAGTCAGGTTAGTTTCACAGCTTGGCTTCACCTGGGAATCTCCAAGCCCAGTACAGGCAGCAGCCTTCTAACATCACTTTATAGATCAGGAAGGGTGGCTCCAGGTAAAACACAGGTGGGGGCTGACCTTGGCCAGCACCACCAGGGAAATCCCAGAGCCAGGGCACCCAATGGACAGCTACAGACCACATCAGAGCACCACAACCCTGCCTCCACACAGCTGATCCTCCACGGAGGGCGGAGGTTCGTGGTCAGTGGTCACAGCCAATCCGTGCAGCTGACAGGCCTGGTTAAGTCCCTCCCATTGATCTGCCAAGAGCAACCAAGGCTCAATTACAAGAGGAGGGTGTACTCAGCCTACATGAAGGATGCACCTTGAACACCCAGTTGGGTGATAGGGGAGGCTGTGCCTCTGGAGCCTACAGGACAGCTACTAAATTAGTGAACACTACCAAGACACAGAGTCAAAGCAGCTCTACCTAATACATAGAAACAAACACAGGGAGAGGCTGCCAAAACAATGAAACACAGATATACGGCCCAAATGAAAGAACAGATCAAAACTCCAGAAAAAAAAAAAAAGGTAAACAAAATGGAGATAAGCAATCTATCAGTTGCAGAGTTCAAAACACTGGTTATAAGGATGCTCAAGAATCTTAGTGAGGACCTCAGCAGCATAAAAAAGATCTAGTCAGAAATGAAGGATTCACTAATTGAAATAAAGAACAATATACAGGGAAACAACAGTAGAGTGGATGAAGCCAAGAACCAAATCAATGATTTGTAACATAAGGAAGCAAAAAACAACCAATCAGAACAACAAGAAGGAAAAAAAAAATGAGGATAGAAGAAGCAGCCTCTGGGACAACTTCAAGAGGTCCAACATTTGCATCAAGGGTGCCAGAAGAAGAAGAAAAAGAGCAAGAAATTGGAACTCTATTTGAAAAAAT